ATAACTTTGTTTAAGTATGTTTTTTGGAAAGTGTTTATGAATATAGTGATTGTGATGATATATATGAGGATGGTTTTCATAATAAAAAGGAAATATAGATTGCAAGAGAACTAAAGAATCAAAGTGTACCACCACGGGCCTTTCCCCATACAACTGAAGGATAAACAAGACTCCCAAACTTGAGTAGACTTCGACCAGAGGTCCTATCCCATTGTACCAGTTGTCTTTAGTATTCTTGAGTTTCTGAGCTGAGGCTCACTTGCGATAAAGAGTGTAAAACATTTTTTTTTAACCAAAATTACCATATATGGAAATTTTTAACAAAACAGACGCAATCAGGAGAGAGTTTTTTTTTTTTATTTTTTTATTTTTTTTTTCAAAGTTTATTTTTTATTTAATAAAAAATACTAAATTATTTAATAAAATATTAAGTTTTAAATTTTTTAATAGTGTTTTCTGAGGGGTTAGTTGATCACTTCTGATTTAGATCATTTTTTAATTTAGACCGGATTTTTAATTTAGATGATTGCTTAATTTAAATTATAATCTGAATTGTAATTGGTGCTTAGTGCTGTTAATAAAAACTAAGCAAATCTAATTAAAGTTATTTGCTTGGTTTTATTAATAATTTTATTTATATATATTAGTTTAAAACCTGTTTATTTTTTCAAGATGCAATTATAATTATTTTAAATTTATATTAAATAAATAATCTTTATACAATTATAATTGTATATAAAAAATTTTTATACTAGTTTAAAACTTGTTTATTATAATATTATATAAAGCTTTGCTTTATAATTTTATTATACTATAATCAAATAACAAACTATACTTTTTTTGATAGTATTTTTATTGAAACACACAATAAATTAGAAAATTTAAATAATGAACCTGAAAACATTCAAAATATTTATAAAACAAATATTGATTCTAATAAAGAAGATAAAGTTATTGAAAGTATACCAACTTTATCATCTTTTGATAATGAAACAATTGTTGACGAATTTGATGATATTTTTGATGAAAATCAAATTCTTGAATTTAAAAAAATTTATTTGGAACAATCATTATTAAATTTAATGAAAAAACAAGAAGCAAGAGAAAAACAACTTGAAAAACAAAATGATCAAGCTTTTTTGGTTAAATTATACCAAAAAAAATGCTGTCAAAAACAATGTCTTGTTAAAACCAATGAACAATCAGTATTAATTAATTTTTGTAACATTAAAGCAATATCTATTAATGAAAGCAATTCATGCTTTCTAGAAATAATAGATACTAGTATGAAACATTCTTCAAACACAAGTGATAAATTAACAATATATTTTATAACAAATTATTTTTTATATAGTATTCCAATTTGTCAATCTATATGATTATTACTTTATAGTATTAGTAGATCTAAATGAGAATCTTTACGCATACATTATTAGAATTATGACATAAAACCAATAATTCATCATTCAACTGGATATACAAGTGGTTTTGAAATTACATTTAAAACAACTTTAAATATATTAAAATTTATTTATAATTATACTTTAGTTTATGATCTTGAATCTTTAGATAAGTTTTATTTATAAAATTATTATTTGTATATAAAAATTTGATTAATTTATTAATTTATTTATTTATAGAACGTAGTTTTCATAATAATACACAAAAAGAAATTTATTTGCTAGCAAGTGAAAGTTATGCTTCTTTATACTGACTTTATGATAATATAACTGAAGAAATTAAAAAATATAAAATTAGTGAATCATCTTTCAAAAGAATTTGGAAGCATTATTTTCCTGGAATCAAGTTTATGACTGCTTGAACAGATCTTTGCAATTTGTATAAAACTATAAAATTTCATTGTAATAAATGGAATTCAATAAAAACTTAAAAGTATGTAAATAAATGGTCACAATATTTTCAATAGGCACAATTAGAACAAGAATATTACTGATAAATATAATTATTTAATAAATTTATTTATTGTTTAATACTAATACTTTTAAAATTTATAGAACTTGTATATCTAATTCAAAAACAGCTTTAAAATTGCAAGCCAATCCAATTTTATTACATCTTGATATCCCGAATTCAGTTGATTTTGAAAACTATATATCATGGGATTATACTCAAAGTGTTCATATTCTATACTCATCTCAACAAGAAGAAGAAATTTATTTCAAGTCACTTTATAATATAGAAGTATTTGGAGTATGTGAAGAAACATTTTCATGTCAGGTATAAGCATTATACAATATATAAATAAAATGATTTTAATATAAAGAAATTAACTTTATATAACAAAAATTCTAAAGTAAACTATTTAATTCCTGAAAGCAAGACTATTGAAAAGAATACAAATGCTATGATTTTTTTAGTACACAATTATTTACTTTCCATGGTTTTGGAAAAAAACATGTTATTATTCATACTGATAATTGCTCTAATCAGAACAAAAACAATATAATGATTAAATATTTAATGTGGCATGTTATGAATAGACTTCACAAGAAAATTACTTATTCTTTTATGGTAGCCGGTCACACAAAGTTTACTTCTGATAGTTTTTTTGGACTTTTCAAATTGAAATTAAGAGACTCTGAAGTTGACAATTTGAAAGATTTATTAAAAATTGTTGAGGAGTCTATTGTTGGAGGTTACAACAAAGCTGAAACAATTTATAATACTAATGGTTCAAGAAAAATTACATTCTATAACTGGATTGAGTTTTTGGATACTTTTTTTACTGGAATTCCATCACTTTTAAAACAATATTATTTCATTATGACTTACAATCAAAAAGAAATCATAAAAATTCAAATAACGATTAATAGTGCATTAACTAAAGTAAATATTGCATATGCTAATGTAATTACATCTACCTCAGAAAACAATTACAAATGCCTGAAGTGATAGTTGCATGTGGTATAAATTTAGAATGCCAGTTGTACTTGTATGAACAAGTATGACAATATATACGTGATCCTTTAAAAAAAGAAACTTTTTTGTTTACAACCTGATGCGTCAAAACCAAAAAAATATAGAAAACTAAAAAATGTTACAAATGATGAATAAATTAATATACAGTATATAATTTTATTATTATGTAAATAAAAAGAATAGTTTTATAATATTAAGTTTACGATACCATAGGTATTACTATTTGATAGTATTTTAATTGATTTGTTATTAATACAAAAATTGAGCAACTATAAATTACTATTAGTATTTAATATAATTATAATATTCACCAAATTGATTCATTCAAAATCTATATACAAGTTGGTCACTATTTCTTGATCTCGATAATAATATAATATTATGTTTGGATAAGCAATTGTTTGAAGGTAAGATTTGGAGAATCTAAAACATTTTAAATATATTATATAGTGAATTAATAAAAAAGAAGTAAATATAATATAAAACAATAGTAGTTTATAAATAAATATGCTAGATAAAGGTCTTATCCTGTACCTGATATTACTTTATAAATGATATCTTAATGCTAGACTCTTTTGTCTATGTAAAATAAAACAAATAATACATTAGCTATAATATTATTGCAAAATTGATAACAAAAATAAGATAACCTTACCAATTATAAAAACATTGTTAACTTAACAATTGCACTTAATATAGTTTCAAACTGAGTGATATATAGCAGTACATTTAAATATATAATTAGCACCTAGTTCTGTGTTCATGACTTTCAAGTGCTACTTGACTTGCTAAGTTTTTAATCGAGATTAGAATTGCTTATTCATATGAAACAAAGCTGATAATTATAAATTTTTTATACCTAGACACCACTCTATTATAACCATACTCAACTTCAACTACTCAGTACCGAAGTATAACTTTAGGCCATTTCTATACACTAAAGAATAAAATGAATATAAGAAGAGTATTATAAGTAGCGATATTTTTTTTTTATGAAATCTGATAATATCATTTGGATAGACAAGCTAGGCCAATTTGGATCGTTAAATTGAATAATGCTAAATCAATTTTGTGCTACCTCAAACTAAAAATGTGATTGTTTCGTGATTGAGATTTTATGAATTTGCTTGATTTTTACTGATGGCCCCCCAGCAGAGTTTTTTTTACTATTTTGAGATGCAGAAATATGCTCCCTGTGCGTTACTCATGTAGCATCCTTACTGCACTTATACAGCGACTGTGCAGCACCTGTATAGATGTGCATTCGAGTGAAATTTCCAAATTATGTATAATTCACGTAATCGACATGTAACGAATTTCATGAAATCATCAAGACAGTTTAAATAAATCTCACAGAACCTTTGTTGCTTTAATATAATTAAAATAAAAATCTTATATTATAAAATTATAAATGATTTATTAATGATTTATATAATTTCTATAAAATTTTTATTTATAAATAAAAGAATTTTATTAATTAAAAGTATTTTGACAAAAAATTATTATAT